CATATTTATTTTCATACATGATAAACTTAAATATATTTTTAATCACCATATATATAATAAATGTGCTCTTTCAAGTTGAGAATAATGATAAAAATTAAAACTTCAGAATTAGTTTCTAACTGTCTAGGAATAGAAGGCCTTTAGGGTCATGTTGATAATGAGTTTAACATCACAGATTCATTTTAGCTCAAGTACCTAAAACAGTTTTTCCTTAATTTCCAATTATGAAATGTTTTAAACATCAAAAGTACTATAACAGGCATCTGTGCACCTACAATCACATTTAAACAGATATGAACATTTTTCATATTTCTTCAATCTCTTCTCTGTTCAATTTAAGAATAAATCCATATTTCCCCCATGATTCCCTCCTTCCCTCCCCAAAAGTAGCTGGTATTCTGAAATTGGAGTGTTGTTAACTGGATATAAATGAATCTATAAACAACTTATACTATTGTTTGGGATGTTTTTAAATTATACGTACATATGTGTATATAAATGCATTGCACCAAACTTTTTGCAACTTGCTTAAAAATAAAACAATATGTTTGGGTATTTATCCATGCTGAATGCACGTAGAATGATTTAATTTATTTTATGTAAAGTTTTCCATTGTGAAGACGAACCACAGTTTATCAGTTCATAGACTAATGGATAGCTAGATGCTTTCCAGTTATTACTATTGCAAAAGTACCTACAATGAACATTCTTGTGCATGCCTCCTTTTGCAATATCTGAGACCCTCTTGGATAAACACAGTTAGAGTAGATGCACTCGATGAATGTAGGAAGTGCCCACCTTCAGTTTTATTAGGTATTCATTAATGGCTCTCCAACTGTGTTATGACAATTTATACTCTCAAGGGTGATGTTTCACTAATTCATTTCCTACAATGTTAAAAAAATTTAGAGATACTTGACACTATACAATATTTGCTAATATGAAGGATATGAAAGATACTTTCATTATTGTTATAATTTTAATAGGCTTATGTGTTACTCAGGTTTCATCTACTGAAAATTACATGTATACATTGTTTGCCCATTTTTCTGGTGGGCTGTTAGTGTTTTTCCTCTTGATATATAGAAATCATTTATGTAGTCCAGAAAGCAATTATTTTTTATTTATACAGATGTTTCTCCACTTACAATGGGGTTATATCAAGACAAACGTATTGTAAATTTGAAAATTTTTGAGTCAAACCATCATAAGTCAGGACCATCTGTATTATAAAAATATTCTCCCTGGTAAAGCATATTATGTATTTAATTTGATATCCTCACCAGGCCTGGACTGGTAAGAATACCATCACCCTCACCACCAAACACTAAATATTACAACTTTCAGTGCTGCAAATTCTCTACCAGGAATAAAATTTTATTGCAGCTGTGAATGCCACCAGACTTGACGCCCATTCTGTATTGTGCACTTGACGTTACAAGCACATCTACTGTGACTGTGATGAGAAAGAATTCACTATTACTTCTTTTGGCTCTTTCATCTCAAAGTCTTTCACAAGTGGTTGTAATAGTAGAGCTACAAGGGAAAGTGAATATTTAGCAATCTCAGCTTTTATTAGAGAGATAATCTCTATACCACTCAAAAGGAGAAACCTCTTTCAAGGGGAAAATAGTTCAAATCCTGGGTAGACTAAGTGACAAATGTCTTCCTCATTGCTTTACTGGCATTGATACTCAAAGGCATCCTCAAGCAATTTAAAACTGTTTCTAAAGCTGGGAGGCTCATGCCTATAATCCCAGAACTTTTGGAAGCCAAGGCGGGTGAATCACTTGAGGTCAGGAGTTCAAGACCAGCCTGGCCATCATGGTGAAACCCATCTCTATTAATAATATAAAATTTAGCTGGGGATGGTGACAAGTGTACCTGTAATCCCAGCTACTCAGGAGGCTGAAGCATGGGAATTGCTTGAACCTGGGAAGCGGAGGTTGCAGTGAGCAGAGATAGTACCACTGCACTCCAGCCTGGGTGACAGGGAGACTTCATCTAAAAATAAATAAATAAATAAATAAATAAACAAACTGTTCCTAGCCCTACTTTCTTATAGTTTTTGAGTTAGATTCATTTGTCCTTTAATTAAGACAAAGGTAAATGAAATAATTTATCTATGGTTACAATGAAACTTTCAAAGAAAAGATCTAAATTAACTTTCATATTCCACCAAAATGAGTTACAGATTGTTTATGAGTTTGTAACCTAATGTCTCAAAGTACACTGAGAACAAAACACAGCAGAGTTCCCATTCTTTCCACAAAGAAAACACATTGATAGGTTCTTTCTTAGAATTCACCACCTGCTAATCACATCCTTGCCTTTCAGACTTACAAAGTCCAATAAAGAAAATACAATCTCTTTTAAAAATAAAAAAGGGCTTTGGTTAAATATAAACCTATATTTAGCTCTTGCTTTAATTTTTATTGACTTAAACTTGGACAAATTCCTTAATCTCTCCAGTCTTCAGTTCTTTGTATTAAAATAAAAATGTTAATACTTCCTTTGCATGTTGTTCTAAAGATTCAAGATTACATATATTGAAATGCCTATTATGTAAGAATACTTTTTAAATGTCGTCAACATTAGGGAGATGAACTATTTTCAATAAAGCTGGGAAATCTGCATTTTCTTCCTTAAGGAATACAGGAAAATACAGAAGGCTAATAAATTCTGCCATTGGAATTACAAGGTCTAGGAATAAACACAAATAGGAAGGATTCTCTGCTTTCAGTGTTTTCACAGACAACATGCTTCCATACATGTGCCCACTTACTTCACCATGTACTTCCAACTGAAGACTGTTACACTTGAATCTCACCTATGAGATTAAAATATGCAGAAAACTCAAAAATATTTAAGAACTGACTTTCATCACCAACCCATTATTTGTAAATGGAAATGTAAGTATGAGAAAATGACATATCAATTTATGTAACTATATTATGTTCATTCATATGTCAAAATGCTATCTCTAATTTTCCGTTTAAGCATCAGGAAGCAAGAGTATAACGTATTTTTTTCTGGGATAACATTATGAATCATTTGGTCAGTGGAAAATGGAAAGAAATTTTTCAAAAAATGAAACAATGTATGTGAAAAATAATTTCAAAGTTCCTAAACTTGCCACATCCTACATTTGTACTGGTATATAATTTGTAAATTACACTAGCAAGGACACAAGGGGCAGTAGTTAAAGGACCTGAACAATTGTCTTGGTTTCTATTACTCTCTCTCTCTCTTTGTTTTTGTTACTTGGGCAATATAGGTCATATTCAAGTATTTTTTTAAAGTACCAGAAATAGGGCATTATTTTATGAGATCAGTTTATCTATATTATTAAGAAACTATCAGCAAATATTTTTCATGCATTGAAATTATCCTAAAATATATAATATCTTGAAATTTGCTATATAATAGTATCACGAGCCATATTCTCATAAAATTCAGTAAATATTAAACAAAATAACCCCACAATATATCATTATAAATTGTGAATGAGTTACAATAGAGTTAAATAAAGGATTTGGTAGTATAATTAAACTAGACCAAAATTATTAGTATAATTCAGCCAGTTTGAGGGATGGGGGAATTTCACATAGAAGTAACAATATAGGCAAGGGCCCAATGAGAAGAAAGAATTCAGCGTATTTAAGAACCAGAAAAGCAGCCAGTATTGGCAGAAGCGTATTGAATGTACTGAAATTCAATCCATCCTCACAGGTTCACAAGAATTCCAGACAGAAATGTAGCTATAATTAAGCATTAATCAGGCTGCAATTTGACCCACTTACTTTTAACCAAAAGTAGTACCAGATACTGACCATTTGCATCCCCATTGTTCCTATAAATGGGATTTCCACTTTAGGATTATATGGCTTCTGTTTAAGATTACTTAAAATGCTTTCCAGATCCCAAATGTCAGTGAAACAGCTGACGCTACTAATTTGAAGACTCTCACAGAGTAACAGAATTAATATAAGAACACAGATTCTTAACTCCCTGCCTCATGACTCGACCCTGCAGTCTTTAACCAATCGATGATATCCACATGTCAGCCCACTTCAAAACTTTTAAGAACCCTTGCCCCAAACTTCTTAGGAAGATAGAAGAAGTTTCCCATCTCCTCATTGAACAGTCCTACAATTAAATCTCTTTCTGTACTGCATGCAACCCAGTGTCTCAATGTACTGACATTGCCATGTGCACTGAGCAACAGACGTATTATAGTTACAAAGTTGGCACAAGATAAAGTTTGGAAGCAAGTCAAGGGTCAGATTTTCTATGATCTTGTAAGCTGAGACAGGAAACTTTTGTTTTATCCTAATTAAAAATACATGATAATTAAGCAGGAAATTGCATGATCTGATTTGCATTTTCAAAACATCATCCTGTGTGCCGCATGAAGAATGGTTGGAAAGCAATAAAAGTTGAAACTGAGAGTCAAGTAAAAATGCTACTGTAAGCTGCCCCAACAAACAAAAATAGAGAAGACTCAAATTCCTAAAGTCAAAAATGAAAGAGGAGCCATTACTACAAATCTAACAGGAATTTAATACTATATGGGAATACTATGAAGAATTATACTCTAACAAATTCGTAACATAAAAGAAGTGAACAAATTCTAGAAAAACATAAACTACCAAAACTAACTAAAGAAGGAATAGCAAATCTGAATAAAGCTATAACAAGAGGTTAATTCATAATTTAAAAGTTTCCAACAAAGTAAAGCCTAGATCCAAATGGCTTCACTATTAAATTCTACCATTTAAAAAAAATTCACTGATAACTTCAGCAAAGTTTCAGCATACAAAAATCAATGTACAAAAGTCAGTAGCATTCCTATATACCAACAACACCCAAGCTGAGAACCAAATCAAGAACACAACGCCATTCATAGTAGCCACAAAATCATAAAATACCTCAGAATATAGTTAACCAAGGAGGTGAAAGAGAATTACAAAACATTGCACACAGAAAATTAATAATGGGTGAAGAAACATGGCGGCCCAGACATTGACTGGGAAATTGTACTCCCTGCTGTTCCCCAGGACTTCCACCTTCGCCCTCACCATCGTCGTGGGCGTCCTGTTCTTCGAGCACACCTTCGATCGAGGCGCGAACGCCATCTATGACCACATCAACGAGGGGAAGCTGTGGAAACACATCAAGCACAAATATGAGAACAAGTAGTTCCTTGGAGGCCCTCATCCAGGCCAGAAGGACCAGGTCCACACAGCAGCTGTTTGCCCAGAGCTGGAACCTCAGCTTGAAGATGATGCTTAAGTTACTCTTCGTGGACCACTGTTCACTGTTGGCAAGAAACGGCTTTACCTTCAAAACAGACTCTTGACCTTCTGCTGTGTTTGAAGTATGTTTAGTCAGCATGATCAGGAAATAAATGTGGAAAAAAAATTAATAATGACACAAACAAATAAAAGTAATTACATGCCCATGGATAGAAATAGTCAATATTGTCAAAATAACCATAATGTGCAAAGTAATTTATAGATTCAATGCCATTCCTACCAAATTACCAATGACATTCTTCAAGGAATTAGAAGAAAAACTATTTTACAATTCACATGGAACCAAAACAGAGCCCAAATAGCCAAAGCAATCCTAAGCAAAAAGAAAAAAGCTGGAAGCATCACATTACCCAACTTTGAACTATACTACAAGGCTTCAGCAACCAGAACAGCATGGTACTGGTAAAAATATAGATACATGGACCAATGGAACAGAATAGAGAGCCCAAAAATAATGCCATATACCTACAACCATCTGATCATTCACAAAACTAACAAAAATAAGCAATGGGGAAAGAACTCTCTATTCAATAAATGGTGCTGGGATAACTGGCTAGCCATATACAGAAGATTGAAACTGAATCCCTCCCTTACATAAAAATCAACTTAAGATGACTTAAAGACTTAAATTTAAAACCTAACACTATAAAACATCCCTGGAGATAACCTAGGAAATATGATCCTGGACCTAGGCCCTGGCAAGATTTTATGATGAAGACTCCAAAAGCAACTGCAACAAAAACAAAATTGATAAATGGGACCTAATTAAACTAAAGAGCTTCTTTACAGCAAAAGAAACTATCCACAGAGAAAAGACAACCTACAGAATGGGAGAATGTTTTTGCAATGTATGCATCTGACAAAGGTCTAATATCCAGATTCTATAAGGAACTTAATTCAATAAGCAAAATAATAATAATAATAACTTTATTAAAAAGTAGGCAAAAGACATGAACAGAAACTTCTGAAAAGAGGACACACGTGCAACCAACAAACATGAAAAATGCTCTACATCACCAATTGTCAGAGAAATGCAAATCAAAACCATGATTACATACCATCTCACACCAGTCAGAATGGCTATTACTAAAAAGTCAAAAAATAACAGATGCTAACGAGACTACAGAGAAAGGGGAATGCTTAGACACTGTTGATGGAAATATATTAATAGATTATTTCAGCCACCATGGAAAGCAGTTTGAAAATTTCTCAGACAACTTAAAACAGAACTACTCTTCAATCTAGAAATCCCGTTACTAAGTAATATATCCAAAGAAAACTAATTCATTCTGCCAAAAAGACACATACACTCATATGGTAATTGCAACACTATACACAATAGCCAAGGCATGGAATCAACCTAGGTCCCTATCAGTGGTGGATCAGATAAAGAAAATGTGGTAGATATACACCATGAAATACTACAGAGCCACAAAAAGGAACAAAATCATATCCGTGGTAATAACATGGATGCATCTGGAGGCCATTATCCTGAGTGCATCAATGCAGGGACAGAAAACCAAATACTGCATGTTCTCATTTTTAAGTGGGATCTAAACATTGAGTACCTGTGGACATAAAGGTGGCAACAATAGACACTGAGGACTCCTGAAGAGGTTGGAGAGCAAAGGGAGGAAGGGCTAAACACCTACCTAGAAGATACTTTGCTCAGTACCTGGGTGACAGGATCATTCATATCTCAAACCTCAGCATCACATAATATATCCATGTAACAAACCTGCACATGTACCCCTGAATCTAAAATAAAATTTGATAATAATAAGACTAATAATCCAATTTAAAATGAGCAAAGGATTTGAACAGACCCTTCTCCAAATAAGATACGCAAATGCACATAAAATAAGCACATGAAAAGATGTTCAACAGCACTAGTTATTACGGAGGTGCAAATCAAACCACAGAGGTTTTACAATTTATCTTCACCATTAACTTCAGTACCCTTCAAGGATATATACTCAAAAAGGCAGACGACAACAAGTGCTGGTAAAGATGTAAGGAAATTTGAAGTCTCATTCATTGTTGTTGGGTAGATAAAGCTAGTGAAACCTCTTTTGAACAGAGTTTGGCAGCTTGTCAGAAAGGTTAAACATAAAAAGATCACCATATTACCCATCAATTTTCTTCCTTGGTATATATCCAAGATAAATAAATAAATCCATTATTGTGTATGTATACACAATAATGTGTCACAAATGCTCATAGCAGCATTATTCAAAAGTGGAAGCAATCCAATGTCCAAGGACATTCTTCAAGGAATTAGAAGAAAAAACAATTTTACAATTCATACGGAACCAAAACAGAGCCCAAATAGCCAAAGCAATCCTAAACAAAAAGAAAAAAGCTGAAAGCATCACATTACCCAACTTTGAACTATACTACAAGGCTTCAGCAACCAGAACAGCATGGTACTGGTATAAATATAGACACATGGACCAATGGAACAGAATAGAGAGCCCAAAAATAATGTCATATACCTACAGCAATATATACTCAAGCTATTAACTAATGTCCAAGCTATTAGCTGATAAGAGTGTGTTATATTCTTAGAATGGGATACTATTTAGCTATATATGGTAGTGAAGTACTGATATATGTTACAACATGATAACCCTTGAAAATGTTATGCCAAGTGAAAGAAGCCAGTCAAAGCAATGGCAACAAAAGCCAAAATAGACAAATGGGATCTAATTAAACTCCAGAGCTTCTGTACAGCAAAGGAAACAATCATTAGAGTGAACCGGCAACCAACAGAATGGGAAAAAGTTTTTGCAATCTACCCATCTGACAAAGGGCTAATATCCAGAATCTACAAAGAACTAAAACAGATTTACAAGAAAAAACAAATCAACCCATTCAAAAGTGGGCAAAGGATATGAGCAGACACTTTACAAAAGAAGACATCTATGATGCCAACAAACATGAATAAATGCTCATCATCACTGGTCATTAGAGAAATGCAAATCAAAACCATATTGAGATACCATCTCATACCAGTTAGAATGGTGATCATTAAAAAATCAGGAGACAACAGATGCTGGAGAAGATGTGGAGAAATAGGAACACTTTTACACTGTTGGTGGGAGTGTAAATTAGTGCAACCACATAGAAGACAGTGTGATGATTCCTCAAGAACCTAGAGATAGAAATTTCATTTGACCCAGCAATCCCATTACTGGGGGTATATACCCAAAGAGTTATAAATTGTTCTGTTATAAAGACACATGCACAAGTATGTTCATTGCGGCACTGTTTACAATAGCAAAGACTTCAAACCAACACAAATGTCCATCAATGATAGACAGGATAAAGAAAATGTGGCACATACACAACATAGAATACTACACAGCCATAAAAAATAATGAGTTTGTGTCCTTCACAGGGACATGGATGAATCTAGGAACCATTATTCTCAGCAAACTGACACGAGAACAGAAAACCAAACACCACATGTTCTCACTCACAGGCAGGTGTTGAACAATGAGAACACATGGACACAGGGAGGGGAGAATCACACACTGCAGTCAGTTGGGAGGGGCTGGGGAGAGACAACAGTGGGTGTGGAAGGTGGGGAGGGATAATGTAGGGAGAAATACGAGACATAGGTGATGCGGGGATGATGGCAGCAAACCACCTTGCCATGTATGTACCTATGCAACAATCCTGCATGATCTGCACATGTTCCCCAGAACCTAAAGTACTATTAAAAAAAAAAAAGAAAGAAAGAAGCCAGTCACAAAAGACCACACTTTACATGATTCCATTTATATGAAATGCCCAGGATAGGCAAATCTTCAGAGACAGAATAGAAAGTAGATTACAGGTTGCCTAGGGCTAGGAGGGGTAGCTATGGAAAGAGGGGATTGACTGCTAATGCCTTAGAAGCTTCTTTCAAAGGTGATCAAAATGTTCTAAACTTACATTTTGGTGATGATTGCAAAACATGAATATATTGAAACCTACTGAATTGTGCACTTTGGGTGAATTTAAGGGCATGTGAATTTTATTTGCTCAAATAAATTCTGTTACATTAAAAAAATTTTTTTAAATCATAAAAGAAATAAGTTCTAATGTTCAATAGCAGGGTAGGGTGACTATTATTAACAACAATATATTGCATATTTCAAAATAGCTAGCAGAGAGGACTGGAGACATTCCCAACACATAGAACTGATAAATGATAAACGTAATGGATAACCTAAATACCCCGACTTGATCATTGCACTATCTATGCATAGAACACAATACCACATGTACGCATCAATATATACAAACATTATATATTGATAAATAAATAAAAATGTTAAAACTAAAACAAGAAAAGAAAAGAATGATAATTCACTTCACTGCAGACAATGGCATTGTAAACCAGAGCAGTGCCAATGGGTATGGGGAAAAGTGTATACACGCAGTAGGGGTGATATGAAAGAGGTGCATCAGAGGAGACGACTGTCCTTTACTGAAACGATCAACCAGGTGTATGGAAGTGTCATGTGCTAAGACAGGGAAACCTGGAAGAAGAGCTATTTGGGATGTGGAGGGAGAAATAATGATCAGAAGTTCTGTTTTTTATACCTTAAGTTTGAGGCACTCAGAAAACAAGCCAGTGGAAATAACAGGTGGGTGTTACAAATTTAGTAGTATTCAACAGACATATGGCATACAAAGGTTATGGACAAAAATGGGATCAACAAAGGCAAGACTGAAGATATAGAGATGAAAATAACCCAGTACAGAGCCTTAATGAGTTCCAAAATGTATAAGTAGAATAGAATAAATGGTTATCTAAAAGGAGATGGTCATCTAAATAGTCAGAAAATGGTCATTTAAAAGGAGCACAGAGAAGAGTCACTGGAAAGCCAGCCATCTGTGATATCCCAGAATTCAGAAGAAGGAAGCATTTGTAAAAGGAGAGCATGGGTAAACTACACCCATAGTATGAAAGTCCAACATAAGGATTGAAAATGGGCCATTCAATTTAGAAATGTAATTTTTATCATACAAAGGTGAGAAAAACCTGAGTGATGGTGAGGTGCTGGGCCTCATAAAAAGCATAGTCGGAAAATGGTAGATCCCCCA